AATTCTCATTTTTAACCACACATTCTTCAATAAAATAATATTTTCTATCACATCAATAATCTTATCTTCTTTTTCAACCACACATTTCCCATCATATCACTATTCAAAATCAATTCTTCCCCAAAAAAATCCCTACCAAACACACACATAATATACCCATTGAGGTATACCACTAGGCTGCATGGACCTCGATGAGTTGCTCAAGAATGTGTGGTCGGCCAAGGCAAGCCATTCTGTTGGAATGGACCCCACTAGTTCTTCCCCTGCGGTCGCGCTCCAACACCGGGCTAGCCTGTGACTTTTTTTTTTCCCCTTTTGTTAAGTCGTTACAAAGAGCTACAAAAGAAAGAAACAGATTCACAAGTTCAGTATCTCCATAACTCAGGAAATGACGATTTTCTCGTAGTCATATGAGAAGTGACCCTTTCAGTGGATTATTGTAGGATTTTTTTAAACGCCACTTTATTCTCAAGTAAAGGCCTCTATTTAGAATACATGTAGTACAATGGAATGCTCGATAGAACTAATCATTATTAGAAAATATTTATTCGTCATCTTGTTTAGTTTAATATGCGAAACATGTTCATGATGTTATAATGCACAAAATTGCGAACTTAGAGTTCTTCTTGGTCATTACTCCACAAACCTCGGAAATTCAGCTAAGAAATCTTGTAAATATCCTTCAAGAATGAAGCGTCGTGCTTCCTAAGACGTGAATTAGGAAATAATTTACTACTATACCCAACAGTAAATGCAGTTGACATGTATAAATAAAAGAAAGAACTGTTGCTCGTGTTTGGTTGGTCAACCTCTGAACCTACCATGCACTCAAGTTTCCATTGACGGGCACCTAGCTTTAAAGTAACAATTTGATGAATATACGTGCATTATATACCTAAAAATGTTGAACGTGATAATTAATATGTTTTATCAAGTACTGTCTAATCTATATGCCAAACATGCCTTCCATTTCCCTCAAAAGCGTACAAGCAAAATTTGACCTAGTTCACTATCATAAATTGATCATTTCTTACTTTGTACATGTTCCAAGAGAACGGAGCTTAGAAGTTTAAAGAAGGAACATCTTAAGACGTAAAGGAACATCAAAGGTATGCAATACTTGCTCATATATATATATATATATATGGGTAGAAAATTGTGTTTATCCACTGTAAGTTCTGAGCTAAATCGTGATTACAAAGCATAAAGCACACCATTTGTTCTGGTTTTGCACTAAATTTATCTTTGACGAAAGGGAGGCGAGATAAGGATTGTGTCGAGCCAAGGGTAACAAGGCAAGAGACATGCCAAATTACAACTGTAATTGGAGCCCAAAACCAAAATTGTGCAAAGAATAATTAACACACTGTGACTCACCTGGGGCAAAATCTTTATCCACCAACAAATCCCTATATCTATATGTGACTACTTCCTTGTGAGATATTAATAATCAATCTCATATTTCCATTGTAAAAGGAAAATGAATGAACTCACAAACACGTGAAGGGTTTACGTCTTCCTTCTGTTTTGTCTCAGAAGATTCTTGCATGGAAATATCAATATCCACTTCTAATAAAAGATTTTGTGAAATTACAAATCTCTACAGTTCAGAAACTTCAACTAGCATCTTTACAAGTAATTGTTGTATGAACACTGTTATTCTCCTAGTTAAACGAGAGGCTGAGCCATGTATCAATTTTTATCTGCAAAAAAAGGGAGTCACCTCAAGTCCACTTCATAGAGAAACTTCACTATTTCATCAGAGACTGCTCTGTGGAACACAGATTCAGCTCAAACTATCTATCTACTATTCTATCTTTGTCATCTCAGGCTGGCAACTGCAGTTTTGCATTAGTTTTCCAGCTGCAAAGTGATTGATTGGTTAGTATGTCTAATGATATCTAAAATTAGTAACCAATGAGAAAGGAAAGATCATAAACATGCCCACAGGTTCGTCACCTGATATAGTAGTAGTAGAAGAAGTCTGCGTAAAGAGCTGTTTGAATTAGGCCAGAAAAGCAAGCTGAGCAAAAGAATGATGATTATTAGTCAATGCAAACAAGAGTCATCACACAAACTGTATTTGTTTGGGAAATATTATAATGAAGAGTAATGGATTCCACGAAAATGTGTGGATAATAGGTGGGTAGTAGTTGTGAATGTGGTTAAAATTTAAAGTTGACTTCAAATTATAAGAGGAATATAACGAAGCCACTTTGTTTCATGACTTACAAATCCATCGACTGAAATGCTTCTCTGTGAAATACCGGTAGACCCAATTCAGGATGTAGAATCCTCTATAGGCCCTGTTGACTCATAAGACATGAGATTTTTTAGAATCTTGGGCTTGTATATAATCCACAAGTAATATATATGAAAGATAAAAGGTATCAGGGTTACAAGGGTTAAAATGGTGGAGGACAGATAACAAATTGCATAAACTACTGATTATTCCAGGCAATATTTAAGTGCATCATTTACTTAGGATCACTTCATAATTTCTGCAGCAATTTGAACATATATGTTACAAAATCATGGAGAAGCTACAGCTACAGAATGGAGGAAAGGCATTATGAATGCCTAATAGAAGTGAGAGATAGGAAAATCTCGCATTTGGATATGCACTGCAATCTGGCATATTAGAGATGTTTAGTTACTTGTGATCTATAATTCAAATTGAACAAATCAGACAACGTATATATAAATTTCAAAGTGATCAAACACACGTGGTAGAATTGCTCAGCCTCCATGCATATTGTCCAATCATGTTGCCACACAATTCCGAATTCTGTATACATAAGTGAAATTAATCTTTTCTCTTTAGCGGCAATAGGTGAAAAGAGAGTAAAATTACCCGAGGAAGAAAACATATTGTCCAGTCAGATTGTCCACATTTCCACTCCTCTGCAACAGAACTAATTGGGGTATAATTGCAATAGCCTCCAAGTATATTGAAAATGTCCAAAGTATCTGAAAAAAATGTAATCAGATTACAAATTATATAAAAAGATGAAGGTGCAATATATCATATTGGTAATGCAAAAATGATAGATCACATAGATAGCACTATAGCAAGGTTATGTAAATTAAGTGCAACAGGATTGGCATTTTAGTTTAAATAGAAACAAGAAAACAGATGTGCTCATTAAAATATTAGGCCTCGGTTTGGCAAATATATAAATGGTTTATAACTAGGAATAGTAGCAAGTCCCATGAAATGTATGAATAAGTATGTGTAATAGTTATGAATATGTGGTTGAAATTAATGTGACTTTGACTGAATTTATGAATTGTATCCAAACGGAGTGATAAACATGAATTGAAATCTCAATGATGATGCAAAACAGAATATAGTCTAGAAAGCACTCACTCCTGTAAAATAAGATCACATATAAAACAAACCTATAAAAATAAAAAATAAGATGATTTCAAAAGTATACATAGATATACAGTATAAATAATCAACTGCAAGCGTAAACAAGCATAAATGTATCCATGAATTAACTTTAACAAGCACACACACTTAAGAGTTAGAACCAGCAGGGAACAATCAATCCAATTTTTACGTAACACTCATAGCACATTCTTAATTGGAGCCACAATTTTTAAAGATGTGAAGCAAGCTCTCCAGCTCTCGTGTTAATATAATGGACTAACGGTTTAAGTTCTAGTGGCCTCAGATAGATACTTGTATTGATTAGCTTAATTAGAACATTCAATGTCATAAATGTGTTCTACAAGAAAAACTATAGTGTCTTCAAGAGACATTCTCATTTATAAGTTAGATCCAGCCAGAAAACACTTGAGACTACATTCAACAGCGATTCAATACTCAAAAAGAAAAGAGAGTTGCACAAGTGTCATAGCAGAACATGCAAGGATGTTCACTTATATGTGTATGTGTGTGATATAGAGAGAGGGGGAAGTATTAGGTGGTTCTCTAGGATAGAAAAATAACCTCTAAGACACCCATAGGCCTTAATCAAGTATCAGCCATAGAACCACATTTACTTGATAAAATTCACTTCAAAGTTCAAACTACTCATAGATCATCCAAATTAATCTAAAGGGACAGGTAGAGGGAGAAGATCAAGATAAACTGAGTAGGCTGACCTCCTGAAATGTAAACTTCTCATGGATAAGAAGTGCCAAGAGGAAGCTCGCTCCGACAAGAAAATAATGCCTGAATGTGTCTAGCTGACGGTCATATGATCGCCTCACAACTCGATGGAACCGCATACACCATACAATTGCCAGAGAGCTCCCAATGAATACCAACTTCATAATGGTGTTGTACACTGAAATAAAGTCGGTAAACAAATCTAGATACCGAGCCAAGAACACAAGTGCATACAGCTCCTGCGTCTTCAACGAAATTCCTGAATCACAAAAGTACATTTAATTTCACCTTTCAACTGAAGAAACTACAGATGCCCATCTATAAAGCCAGATATATGCATAAACACACAGAATTGAAGTCCTCAAAATCTTCATCTTTATTTGCTAAAAAAGAGCTAGAGATATGCATTTAAGAGAATGCCTGCACAGGGAACAATATGTCTTCCATTCAACTCTTAACTGACACATATAAACCCTAAAGTCTTGATATGTATTACTAATATATGCTCACTAAATAAAGTAAAAAGGGAGCTGCATTCTTCTCTTCAGACCTGCTTATGCTTTTGGGAATTTTAAAAGGGATGACAGATTATAGTACCAACATGATACTCCATAAATAAAGGAATGCAACAAAATTGTGTAGAACTAAAAGACCCAAAATGGAGCCAATAAAAATCTACAGCACTTATTTCATATAAACACACAGAAATGCAAAGAAAACATACATACATAAATGTAAACTAAGGTACCAGAAAGCAATTGGACATTCATGAGCCTTCAAATAAAGCTGCTGTAAACACACTACAAACTCTTCAGATTACGTATAACTCGAATGCTTTTCCCTCAACAATGCATTGGATTACATACAATAAAATTGGAAACATATGTGTATGCATATTATCTGCGTTGTATATAGTATGGTACTTTTTCATTGTTTTGCTGACAACTTTTGGTATCGAGAAAAGAGAAGGAAAATGCCATCCATCTGTCTTATCATTTTGTAAGAATGAGATTTTATAATATATAAGGTGGACAAATTACTGAAAGTAAATTGTCAAAATGGAGGAAAATGGATGATGTCTTAAGCAGGTATGGTTGTCTCGGTTCATCAATGTAACTAAATGCTTCACTGCTGGGAGAAACGTGAAATTGTGTATTACAAAGAGGATGCCGAGGCACAAATACGAAGAGGCATGTGAAGGACCCCTTATATGTAGACATATAGCTCAACAACAGCAGAAAAGAGCAAGGAAATACAGATGTAGGTGTTTTTGGATCACAAACTTGAACAAACGTATTGATGTAAACATTTGCCAATCAAATAACTTATATAGATATGTAAAATGTTTACATTTATGTATTTGGAGAAATAAATCCATATATGCGTACGAAAAGATATACGTACATCCGTATATGCATCTGTGTGTGAGGGGAACTCATACAAGCTGGCCATTCTGCATCTTTGAAAATGATTGATAAATAGAGATAGACTACATAAATACTTCAAATTCTGCCCTCATACCTCATGTGAATGTAAAAATTACCATCAACAATATAACATTTAACTCCAGTGAATCCATTAAACAAACAGCAAATACAGATCGGTCAATTGAAAATCTAAAAACTAATGTTTTACTAAATTCCGCTCCACGGACTCAATAATTCGGTTAAATCGCATAAGCAAAATTTCAAATCTCAAGCACAAAAATAAACACCGACATACATAACCTCGCGTATTTGTATAAATTAATTGTTAATTAACCAAAACCATGGACCATGTAATCAAGCTTTTACACCGAAGCGAAAGCAAATTTCAATAATGCGCGAAAATTAATTCAGTCCTACACAAGTCGATTAACCGAAACAAACAGTATAAAATAATCAGTACATAACCCTAAATAAAAACGCATACATAACGCAATTAAAAGCATCACCTGAGCATGATTTAGTGGCATAGATTTTAAGAAGAAGAACTAAAATGCTAATCAAATGTGTCATGTCCCCGATGAATCTAAAAATATTCATTGTTGTAAAAATTGGATAAAAATCAAGAAAGTGGGGGAGGGTTTCAAGTTCGTACGAATTATAAATCCGAATTTCGAGAGGAAAAAGAGAGGTAATGGGCAGTTTCAGGGTTTTAAAATTTATAGATGGAAAATGGAAAATAATAAAAGATGGAGGGAGGTGACGTGGAAAATCTAGAGAGCGTTAGCGTCTACGAGTACAGCTGTCTGGTTTGTGCGTTTCGAGGTTATTCAACTTTTGAGACGAAATAAATGAGGTGGCAACTCATATAAAAAATAAAAAATAATAATAATAACAAAGAAAGGAAAGGAAAGAAGAAAAAAATGGGATAAATAATTTATAATTAGAAATCACTATTCAGAAAGGATGGGAGTGTATGCTATTATTTTATTTGATGGTAATGATGTGAAAATGCAATCTCTCTCTTGGAAGACAAGAATGCGAAGAAAATGACAAGCTGCTTCTCTTAATAAAATCTCATTATTTTAAACTTTGATTTAGAGATTATTTATATTCGTTTGTTTTGTTACGTCTTGCCAAGCTCTCACGTTAAGCCTACATGGCATTTCACGTGGAGTGCAACGGACCTACCAACCCATTGAAGCATTTTCACTGAAGCGGCTTCATGCGTGGACCTACTGAATCCTTATTGTCGAAGTGGTGATGTTCAAGAAGGCTAAATCCGAAGCTCTACCACGACAAGTGATGACCCGCCTCCTTTGAAGATCTTAAATTGATAAAATTTTATTTGAATGATTGATGTGACACTTATAATGAGTAATATGTCGAAATTTTATTAACATAAGTTGTAGGGTGGTTGCCTCATTTTTTAAGAGCCACAAGCTAGTAGGGTAAAAATTGACACCTAGGATAAAATGTTTCGGTTAAAGAGATGAGATCGTGTGTACCCTCATCCATTGGATACCATTTCACATGTAATACTATAAATATTCTCCCTATGTCATTTGAGGATAATGCAAGTATGTATATGTTGAGTTAAATGTCATCTCCTCTTGAGTTGAATCTTTTGTTGATAAAATTAGATGTTTGATTTTGGTTTTTAGTTTGTTTATTGTTGATTGTTTTTTATCATGCGATCTCACTCATATATATTGTCGGCGCTCGAACATTTTTGTCTCGCGTTATAAAGCTTCTCCCTCGTTTAAACTCAAAATATCGTCGACTAATAATCTATCCAAACGTGGTGTAATTAGCTTGCACGGACACGAGTTGGCCCGATAGCTGTTATCCATGTCAACGGTAAGAAAAACATGGTCAACAGATTGGCGTCGTATGTGGAAAATCGCAACTATAACCACAAACATTCTCATGGAAAAAAGTTAGTCTAAAAGTTACTAGGCATCTCGCTAGAAAAAATATTTGTTCTTCAAAAAGAACAGGTGGAAGTCCCAAAGTTGGAAAAAAATCTGAAAATTCAGCTTAGGAAAAAATGAGTTCAAACCATGATGTCTCTTCCAGGAGGGTGAGAGAAAACCCTGAAGCAGAGATCTCCCAAGCAATTGCCCAATGGGTCGACGCCAATTCTACCACCATCATAGGTGTGGTGGAGTGAGGGTAGCTGTCCAACTCACCATGAAGATAGCAACAATGGCCGCTAACATGAAAAATTTCACTCACCAAAACATGGCTATGCAAGAACTCCTCGTATAAATACAAGGCCAGAAGGGATCTGCAAATTCTCCCTTACGCACTACAAGGATACAATCAACGTAAGGATGAAGTCCAAAGTCAGATAGCCCTGTCTTCCTAATAGGTTAGAGAAGTTAGCCCCCTTGAAAGGGAAGTGGGAGTCGACGTCTATTCGAACTATACGTTTGGCCGACCCGCCGAGGCCCATTCAGACATGGAAGATAACTTTCCCCTAGAATATGAGTCAGAGCATATGCCGTAAGTTCTGTTAGTATGTTTAACAGATCCAGTCTGACAGGAACCAACACAGGCTATCCCAACCACCTCTATGCCTAAAAATAGACATCAAACACCATCTTTCGAGGCGAGACGATCGGAGGAAAGGCAATGACATGCCCCACGAGTTGCTCCGTCTAGAAATATGCGCCATGGAAGGAAGGAAATGGTAAGGGATCAAGCCGACCCATCTCATCCACTACCTAGATACCATGCTAATGTAGATGAGGACTCGAACGAAACCCAAAGGTCTTGTGACCTCGATGACGATGATGAAAATTTACTTTTTTTCACAAGAACTGAAGAATGCTCATATTCCTAGTCACTATGTATCGCCGAAGATACCAAAGTATGATGGAAGGGATGATCAATCTAAGCATTGGAACAGCTACAAATGCACATGAACTTGAGGGCGCCTCATCCGTCGTCAAATGTAGGGCCTTCGTTTTGACTTAAGTAGAGTGACTGATATTTAGTATAGTAGATTAACCCCAATGAGTATTAGAAGCTAGCCAGAATTTAGAAGTACATTCCTGAAATAGGTCGCAGTAAAGAAGGAAAGGCTCATATCCAATGCCTTCAGGAAATGAGGCAACATCATAGGGAGACGCTGAAGAGTTTTTTAGCTCACTTTACGAATGATGACTTATTATATGCAAATTATTGACCGAGAGGCATTGTTAGTGTTGCGATGAGGGCTAAACATGAACACCGTCTTCTGGAGGGATGTGCTGAATCAAGCCCCCGTCAACTATGATGCCCTGTTGGAAATAATGAGACGTGATATCATCAATGAGGAGTTGATCGATCACCAAAATAGAGCTAGGAGGGGGTCTTCTAGCCCCTCAGAGACATCGTGGGGGGATGAACTACCTCTCATCTAATGGACCACCAATTGAACTAGGCCGATCATGAGGCCATTTCTAACTCTGGGAAAGCACTTGCTACAGCTACATTAAACATGGTATTCACGCTGGCTTATAAAGATGTAACATCCGACACTAACATGCGATCGGGTCCGGATAACGGGCTCCCTAAAAAGAAAGAAGTCAAAAGTGGGGTTCGAAACCTAGAAATAGGTTGAGCACCCATCAATATTGTACTTACCATCATTTATATAATCATGACGCAGCTGACTACAGAGATATAGCCTAATACCCTAGGAAGGTTAATCCTCAGAACTATTAAAGAGGTGAGCATCATCCTAAGAACATGCATCCACCTAGGCAGGATCAAAGATCGAGGCTCGACGAGGCCAGACCCTTCTCCCATCAGGAATCATCCACCCGATAGAAGAGGGAGCGTGATAGAGAGAGACTTAGGAAAGGACAACAACAGTGTAGGGACCCCGGCCAATATGTAAAACGCTCATATCCACGAAGTTAACACAATTTTTAGAGGACCCTACGTTGGGGGCAACACAAGGAATTCCCAAAGGAACTATACTAAAGAGGCCAAAGACCCTCAAATGGCTAGCTACATAGTAGATAGCACTTTTCGGAGAAGATAACTACCATCTATCACTTTCACCCAGAAGGATGCTGAGGGTGTGCATTTTCTCAATAGTGACGCTCTAGTGGTAAAGGCAGATTTGACTTATAATAGGCTGAAATAGATGCTAATGGATAATGGTAGTTCCGTTAACATCTTCTTCGGAGCCATTTTTGATAAAATGGTCGTCGATCATGAATTGACTCCAATCACGACTCCTTATACGATTTCACCGGCGACAACATCATCCCAAAGAAAAAATAACCCTTACAATGGAAATGGGAGAACTACCACAGACAACTCTAAACTTCATGAAAATATTGGTAGTAGATAACAGGTCCACCTACCATAAGGTACTAGGTAGACCCATCCTAAAAGATTTATGGGTTGTCATTTCCATTCACCACTTGTGCATGAAATTCCATACTAGGTGTAGGGTTGCAACAGCTAGGGTGACCCAAAAGAAATGCGGGAGTGCTACCTAAACTCGATAAGGAAGGCTAAACTTAGTGACGTCAATATGGTGCTAATAGATGTTGATATGATAGATGCCCTAGGAGGACAATTCTAGACAAGAAAACGTCGAGATGACGGATACCCTGGAGCAAGGGGCCATACTTGATGAACTGGACACTCGTATTATCGAATCTAAATCCTAAACAACCGTAGTAAAGGAGTTGAAAAGTTTTTGGATGGACCCTCAAGACCCCACCAAGGCATTACAGGTGAGAAAAGGCCAGCAACCGGAGTCCAAAGAAAGACTCAAGGTTTTATTTACAGAAATCTTGATGTCTTTGGGTTGAGGCATAAGGACATGGTGAGCACTGACCCCAAGGTCAATTGCCACACTGAAAAATTGATCTTACGATTATCCAGCATAGACATAAGAGAAAGGACATTAACCCTGAAAGGTATGAGGCCTTGAAAGAAGAAGTACAAAAGCTGATAGACAATGGCTTCATCAAGGAGGCTACTTACCCCGAAATGAGTCTCCAACCCAGTTTTGATAAAAAAGCACAATGGTAAATGGAGGGTGTGCATTGACTTATTCAACCTCAACAAAGCTTATCCAAAAGACAGTCTTCTCTTCCAATGATAGACCAACTTGTGGACTCTACCGCTGGGCACGAACTTTTGAGCTTCAGGAATGCTTATTCGGGCTATAATCAAATTTTCATACACGCAATAGAGGCGTTTATTGTTACAAAATGATGCCCTTTGAATTAAAAATGTCGGATCTATCAGAGAATCATTAGTAAAATGTTTGTCAACCTCATTGGCAGAACAATAGAGGTTTGCATGGATAACATTCCCGTGAAGAGGTTGAAGGAAAATGACCATAAAATGCACTTGGATGAAACCTTCCAAATTCTACAGAGATATACGATGATGTTGAACCCTTTTAAATGTGTGTTCAATGTTGCCTCCAGCAAATTTCTAGGATATATGGTCAACTAGATAGGTCCGAGCTTTGGTCGAGATGAAGTTTCTTCGAAGATCAAAGGAGGTGCAAAGCTTAACAAGGCATATAGCGGCTTTAAGCCATTTTATCTCGAATGCCACTAATAAATACCTCATTTTCT